TACAGAAGCTGTCTCAATACCAAGCGGCAGATGATGATAAGGAGAAAATGGAATGCATTGAATTTGAACATAAATCCAAGCAGAAAGGAAAGGTCCAATCTTCATATGATAAAATACCCAATTAGAAGTGTCCTGAAAAACTATAAATGTGGTTTTTCGTAAATCAACATAGTAAATATTCCACAAAGAAAATCAAATAAGTTTCCGTTAGAAACAGAAGTTACTGAACCTATCCATCAACTGTCCGAATATGTGTGATGCAAACTCGGTGGAAGGTCTTGGAAGAAGAGATATTCAGGCCACTCAGGAATGGAGACTCTCCCATATTGCTGCATGTAAAGATTAATCCGTGCATGCAGAGCAGCAGCAGTAGCCATAGAAACCGCTTTCCTTTCAATATGTTATGTACCAGTACACTCAAACTATAGCAGGCAAACTAGGCATAGACGAATATTAACAGGAAATTTTTATTGGCAAAAAGAAGCATCGGTCGAGGAATTTTCATGTATGGCTGACATCTCAAATGACGGGTTCTCCTGAATTCAGGTCTTCAGGGCTTTTCTTTTGTCTCATAACTTATGGTTCCTTCTTCAGAGTCTTCATAATGGCAGGACCCAAAACCATAAAATGGATGGGTTAGTAAAGTACTTGAATCCAAAGGTTCACAACGGCTCAAAAAATGGAAACGCCCACAGTTTACCACCTTACTCAGCACTGGTTCCTGGATTCAGCAAAGTCCGTCAATGTATGAAACAGAACTATCAATCTATAAGAGTTACCACCAAGAGCATAGGTCCAAAGTCAATTTACAAGGATAATGGAAAATAGTGAACAAAAGGTTATCTCAATATCGAGCAACGTTTTCGGAAGCAAATTGAAAATCGAGATACAAAGTCGGTTAATCAGGAAACCCCTTCCCTACCCCTTCTTGTTCAGTCGAAAGATAGGGACAAACCTTAAAAAAAGCGATGTTTGGTCACGAAACCCCGGAAACCAAATCATCAAGTGAATTACACATTTATCCATATGGGAAATAAAATTTGGAATTACAATGAACACAATTATAATATCTACCATCAATATATCTTTTTCTCTCAATATCAAGCTAAAACAAAAGATGTGTAACCACACAAAATATGCAAAAGGCATGTCTTAGGCCTCTAATTAGATAAGCATCTGCAAATAAAGAGTTAAAATTTTTTATATTGCAAAGTAGGCGAATCATGGTAATGAAAAAATGAGATTAAAAAACTTCAGAAAAACGCAACAAAGGAGATTCACAAACCTTTGACTAATATCTCAGGAAGTGTCAGATTTAATCAATGAAGGAACTGTCACTATACCATGATCATTTTGTGGCAACCTTAAAATTAAAAACTGTTTAAAGCATATAATTTCTTTCCAACAGTTCAATTCACTGGGTACATAGGCATTGTTAATCTCTTGGGCAGTTGTTTGGATAGCGCTGCGGCGACAAATAGCGACGTGGCGCCCGCTTCACTGAGGCGAGAGGCGCTGCACGCGAAGTGCTCCTCTCTCACTCGCGCGCCGACAATTTATACCAAAAAACATAAAATAATTTTTATATTAACTAAAAATCAATAACCAATTATATTAATAAATATATATCCAAAAAATTAAAGGACTCAAATTTCAAGCTATATCATTTCGGTTTAGTATTTATCGGATGACGCCATACTCTCACGCTGCTTTTATAAGAAAAAAATTATCACAGTCAATATTTGCACATTAATTATACTTATATAAAAGAAGACAACAAAAAAATAGAGCAAAAAAACAATGTTCTCACCTTTGCACACAGTACCACTGCCTCTGGAAAAAAACAGCAAAGAAAAAACAGACAAAAAAAGCACGAGCAAAACAAAAAAATTATTCTGCCTTTGGAAAACAGCAAAGAACGAAGAAACAAAAATGAAAATTTTTGCCTCTCAGAAAAACAGCAACTATTAGAAAGAAGACAAAAACAGAGCAAAAAAAAAAAATAAGCAGCAGAAAGAAAACCCTCAGTTTTCTGGCTCGAGGAAAAACAGCACAAATTTACAGGACCCTATGCCCTGTGTTGCCTATCGACAAAAAACAGGAGAAAAAAATAGAAAGAAGAAGAGAGAAGAAAGAAGAAAGAAGACCATTTGGCTCTAGTTCTCTATTAGACAAAAAAACAGAAGAAAAAAAAAATAGAAAGAAGAAGAGAAGAAAGAAAGAGAACCCGAGACCACTATCTTGAGCTCGGTTCTCTATCTGACAAAAAACAGAAGAAAAAAAAATAGAAATGAAAACGAGCAGAAGAAAGAAGGGACGACAAGAAGAGGAGAGGAGAAGAAGCATAACTCTGCTGTTATTTTTCCGCTGTTGAAGCTTGAAGAAGTATGAAGCCAGATGATGAAGAAAGACTGAAGAAGACCGTGGTTTGTTCGCATGGAAAAAGCACCTAATCGCTGACCAGTTTTTTAGTTCGCGGGTGAAATAATCTCGAACCCCTTCAATTCCGACTTTAAAGTCTTCTCCCTTTCTTTTTTTTTTTTCAAAAAATAGCGACGTACAGTCGCTACTCGCCACACAGTCGCCTCACGCAACACACCCTGTAGGCGAGCGCATTTGAATATCGCAACGCAAATAAAACGTATTAGGATATACTTCTGCTCGCATCGCGTTCACTGCTATCTTTGGATTACTGACTTAATGCTCTTGGGTTGTCCCAAAAGTTTTACATGCTTGGCTACAGAGAAGAGATCAGTCCACGATGTGATGAGGCATGGTAAGAATATAACTAAGTAAATAACATTGCCACAAAAGGGCCACATTAAGTTATAGCAGTTAAAATAATTCTGTGAATGTGTGGGGAATTAATAGGCAGACAAAAGGAATAAGGTGTAAAGCTACTTTTACAAAAAATGGATGCAGATGTTTGTGTACAGAAACAAAGATGAAGGGGATTGAAGTTAGATTATATCAAGCAAATTGGAGGATCTAGGTGGTCTGATTGGGTGGAGGTAGAGGCTCAAGTAACCGTGGTGGAATTATCATTTTTCTGGGATAAGAGAAGATGGAAGTGCTTGGAAAAAATTGTGGGAATCCATTCAGCTATGTGTTTGGAAGAAGAGAGCTCGGGAGCCAATCATGCATTTATTGGGGTATATGGCCAGCGACAGAAAAACAAGGAGGAAATTTATGGAAAGAACTGCAAGGCAATCAGTGGATATTGTTCTCAAACCATGGCAATAGGAGGAGATTTCAACATAATGAGATTTGAAGAAGAAAAAAGGGGAAAAGCGAGAATAAAGAGCGGTGGAGACTCAAAGCTCATAAATGAACTAGACTAATTGATCTTCCGCTTCCATGGGGGATCCTTTACTTGGTTCAGAGGCAGAAACAGTCGGAGTGCTTCCAGGATAGACAGATTTTTAATATCAGAAGATTGGGATGAGCACTTCAAATTTTTGAAACAGAGGGTTCTACCGAGAAAACACATCAGAGCATTGTCCTATCTTGTTGGATGTGGAATTGGAGTAAAGAAAAGACTATTTCAAGTTTGAATAATAGTGGTTTGAACACAAGGGTTTCACAAACCTTGTGGATTATTGGTGGAAATCTTATGATATTACATGGTGAACCAGATGGCTATTCTTGCAAAGAAGCTTATCTTCTGAGAAAAGTGATTTAAGGAAAGTGGAATAAGGATGTTTTTGGGAAATTAGAATAGAAAAAATAAGGCTCAGCTTAGATTGGAGGATTTAGATCATGGCGTGAGGGAGGATCAGGATGAGGAATAGAGGAAACAGAAAGAAAGTATATAGAAAGGGAGTTACAGGAAGTTTCAAAAGCTGAAGAGATTTCATGGAGGCAAAAGTCTCGATGCTTATGGTTAGAAATGAGGGACAAAAATACAAAAATTTCCATAGAAAGCCAATGCCCATAAAAGATTTAATTGCATTGACAAAATTAGTGATTGATGATGTTTGGGTGGAGGATGAGAATTTAATAAAGGAACAACATACAGGGATTCTATGAAAAACTGTCTTTCAAAGAGAATGAAAATTGGAGGCCAAGGTGGGAGGATGAGACTCTTAAAAGGCTTTCGGATGATGATAAGGAATGTGCTGCAGAGACATTTTACAATGGAGGAAGTGGAAGATGTAATCAATCTTTTTAGAGGTGACAAAGCCCCAGGCCCTGACGGTTTCAACCTTATTTTTTTCAGAAATGTTGAGTAAGTAAAGGATGATGTGTGGAGAACTGTTGAAAAGTTTTCATAAAAAAGGGACTTTTTATCAGGAGCCTAAATTCCTACTTTGTTGCTTTGATTCCCAAGAAAAAGGTGCAATAGAGGTGAAAGATTTTAGGCCATTAGTCTATTGGGAGTGTTGTACAAGATTCTAGCAAAAGCTTTTGGCAGAAAGACTTGAATATGTGTTATTGGCAAACTAGTTTCTATGAGTCAGAATGCATTTCATTAAGGGTAGACATGGGAAGAATCTATAGGGCTATCACCTTCTTTGGCCAGATCTTCCAATCTTTTCACAATTACAGTTCACTGCGCCACCCTAACTTTCATTATTGAGCTAAAGGAGTTCCTAGCCCTTCAAGTTTACACGTTGATCTCTCTCTATTGGCATTGGCCAAACTAGTTTCTGAGAGTCAGAATGCTTTCATTAAGGGTAGACAAATAACAGATGCATCTATGGTGGCTAATAAAAGTATTGAAATCTTATTGAAAAGGAAGAAGAAGAGGTGTTTCTTGCAAACTTGACCATGAAAAAGGCATATGATCATGTAATTGGTCTTGTTTGTTAAGCATAATGAAGAGCATGAATTTTTGGTGAGAAGTGGATTGAATTGATCGGTTTTGATCATCCCACCGTCTAGGTTCTCTGTTGATAAATGGAAACCCCAAGGCTATTAGATCTCAAAGAGATTGAGGCAAGGAGATTTCTTATCCCTTGTTTATTTACTCTGGTAATGGAAGGTTCTCAAGTAAGATGTTAATTGAAGGCAGAAGAATTAGGATGGATAAAAGGAATGAGCTTTAGAAGTATTGACGAAGACAAGGTTCTCTTCACATTCTATAATTGCTGAGTGATACTCTATTGTTTTGTGAGCCAGAGAAAGAACACATGTTTACCTCAAAGGAGTTCTTTTTAACTTTTGAAGCAGTCATGTTTGAGGACTAATTTGGCAAAAAGTAGCATTTCAGTATAAATTTGATGATATTATTGATGAATTGGTTTGATATTTGGATTGTAAAGTGGAGAAGTTTTCAACAGTTTACTTGGGCTTCTTTTGGGGGCAAAAAAATGATCCTAATATATGGAAAGGGTGTTCTGGACAGATGTGCAAGTAAGCTAATTCTTGGAAAAAACAGTACCTATCCTGTGGGGTAGGCTCACTCTAATTAATAGTGTGTTGGATGGTATGCAACATATCTGATGTCTTTTATTCTCAATGCCTGCTGTAGTAAAAAAAGATGAATTCTTTGAGAAACCAATTTCTATGGGAAGGAAATGCTACTAAAAAGAGGTCGCATTTAATAAAAATGGCAGATAGTATTGAATGATAAAAAAGGATGTGTCTCGAGTAAGGAATTTGAAATTGCATAATAAAGAGCTACTTTTCAAATTTTGGAGATACATTTAGGGGTGGCAAATGGGGCGGTGCGGCGGGGGCGGGTTTAAGCGCGAGCGGGTTTAAAGCTACGCAGGTGGGGGTGCGGGGCGGGTTGAAAATATTTTTTAAAAAGCTAATGCGGGGCGGGGCGGTTGCGGGTCTACGCGGGTTTTGCGGGTTTGCAAAGTTTACTGGATTTCTATTGTATTACCAGTAAGACATGACTCATGAGAAGGTATGCGACAAAAATAGTAGAATAACTGTTTAAATATTGATACTTAATCAAAACAAAACTAAATCATTTATAATCTTCTTCTCTTTAAGTACACCTTTTAATTAGTGAAATGTTAATTAAGTTAGAAATTTTGAATAAAAGAGAAAGCTAGACATTTAACGAATATAAAATGTAGTTTAGACAAATATTTTTAGATTAAATTATTAACATTTATCACTTAATCATCTAATGAAAAGTTTTGTTGCACAAAATTTTTTGTCAGTTAAAAAATCATACAAATAAATAATAGCGCCAACCAGAATCGTATAACGTTCAAGTTTTGTCTTTTTCGGCATTCCCATTATGAATTTCAAAATCCTCCAATCCAATTGAACAATTCAGTTGGTTGATGGAATCGAAAATCCAGCAATAAAATTAATTAAAACAAATTTAAAAAAAAAAACTTAGTGCGGTGCGGTGCGGGGGACGCAGTGTGGGTGTGGGGCGGGTGGATGCGGGTGCAAATCTATGCGGCGGGTTGAAATTCTTGCGGTTTGCCCGCAACGCCACCGCACCGTTTTCATCCCTAGATAACATTCTGGAAGATAATAAAGTTAGGAAGAATTTGATTAATGCCATTTATGGAAATAGAAAGGCTGGAGACCTCCTGCTCTACACATGAAGGCAAGAGGTGGTTTATGGAAGTGCATAGCGGACTATGGGAAGAATTTTTGGAGTATACTAAATTGGAAGTTGGCAATGGACAAAGAATCAAATTTGTACAGATTTATGGATAGGGGATGCATGTCTTAAATCTAGATTCCCTTAATTTGTACAATTTTCTGTTAACAAGGATGGTACACCATCTCGATTTCTACTCGATACAGGTTGGCAGATAGTTCTGAGAAGGAATTTGGATGATTGGGAAATTGAGGATTATTGCCAATTGACGCAGTTAGTAGGACAAGTTGTTGTTGATCATAACAAGGTGGATTCTTTGATTTGGATTGCGGTAATGATAGAACTTTCTCTGTGAAAAGCTGTTACGACAGGTTGATAGAACAATCAAATCACAACATAACAACTTGCCTTGGAAAATTATTTGGAAAATCAGAGCTCCAGTCAAGGTAGTTGCTTTGGTGGATAGCAGCCTGGGGAGCCTGTTTAACTCTGGACAATTTGCAGAGAAGAGGTTTAAGCTGTGCATAGGTGTTACTATGTGAGAAGAGAAAGATCAGTGAACCATCTACTCCTGCATTGCAGAGTACTAGGCAATGCTGGGATCTATTTTTTAGCATATGTGGTATTTCATCGGTGATGCCTCAAACTGTGAGGGCTATTAGAAACTTGGCAATACCCAAAGAGTACTTAGAAGACTGAACAGATGTGGAGAACCATTCCATTGTGCATTCTATGGCCTTATGGCTTGGAAAGAAACAAGGCTTGCTTTAAGGACATTAGATATAACATTATTAGAATTAAGAATATATTGTCTTATTAATCTGTTTTTTTGGTGTAGATGTAGCCAGTTAGGAAATTTGAATCAAATTATAGGAGTTTCTAGAGGTGTTGGGAGGGTGAGAATAGTTTGCTGATGTTGTAATTTGGGATGTTTTCTGTAACTTTATTGTACCATCTTGGTACCTTATTGATAAAAGTTTACCTTATCAAAAAAAAATAACATTGCCACCCCTAACCATTTAAATTGCGAAATTATATGGTACACACAATATAATTATAGTAGCTGAATAGTTAATTCCCTAGATTCATGTCCCAGCACCACTGAAGATCTAATATTTCCATGTGGGTATTAACCCAAGAAAAGAATCAGCCACAAGAAGGTTTGTCACTCTTTACTCTTGGTGAATAATATATATATATATATTTGTTTAGCTTCTTATTTATTATTATTTATTATATATATATTTATATATATATATATAATTTATTTATATATATATTAAGAAGCTAAACAAAACATAAGAAAGCTAACAAATCCACAAACCGATTTTATGTCACTTACAGTATAAGAAAAAATTAGACCAGCACAAGATATTTCCGCTTAGGGAAGGCATGGAGTAACTGATACCCCCTTCAAACATCCTCAAATCTATCTATCCATAACATCCAAAAATAATGCAACCTAGGGATAGTTTGCCGTAACTCCTAGATTAGTTTCTCCATCCTCCAATCATCCCACATCATAAGCTTGCCTTTATGGTGCACGCAAAAAGTTTTAGGTACATGTTCCAACTTATCCCTTGCAACAAAGCAGGAAGAGGTGGTGGGATCTTCCCTGATATGACTTAGCATAAATATAGCATAATGCAGAAAACAAAGAAGCTTTCTCTTAAACTTAACTCAAGTGAGGGCAGTCCTTATGCAACATTACCCAACTAAGCCAGGTGTTATTTCCTGTTGAGTCTTTGGTTCTCAGATTAAACTTCCAGTATTGTATCTAAGTGGCGTTGTAGCATGCCGCTGTTGGAAAGCCTTTTGCTATCTGTGCCTCATATCGGACATCAATCTGTCTCTCTTCGATTATCTGCAATCACTCCTGGTCAACTTTATCTCATTCAGCCAAGAGACGTTCCTATCTTCAAGTCTGCCAGTTCCTCCTTGAAGACAATGTATCCATCTTCTACATTGAGCAATAGTAGCCTTTAGGTAAAGAAAAAACACATGGAATAAGACTAGAAACACCGACTTTCAGTGTATTGTGTGAAATCCAGCTCACATCATGCCAGAAGCCTTTTATCTTCTCTCCGTTTACCACTTCTCTAAAGCATGGTTATTATTTTTGAAGTCTCCAAAGCTTTGGGCATTGCTTCCAGGGTTCCTAAGCCATACGGGAAGGACACGCGCTAGTGCACCACTGATTTTGCCTCCATGTTTAGCTTTAACACCTTCTCAGTAGTGTAACATTGCTGATGTTTACGCATGCCACATCATCAATAGGTTTTATTATGCAGTTGCAATCTTTTAGTTTTCACTTCTTTATTATGTCTTTTTCTTTTGTTTTTCAAACATAGTTAATCTGCAACAAGTAATTTTCACCACTTTGACACTAGTTATAATGTCAATATTCAATAGTATGTTTGTTATTATGGTATCTTGAGTGTTGAAGCAGGTTTTTTGATAAAAATGATTTAATAGCTTCTACAATATCAATTAGCTGCTGTTGCTGCCCCAAAGTCGCTCCATAGAACATACCATAACTCTATTTTGATGGTGTTAGCGTTTGACCAGTAACCAAAGTCATGACACGAAAGTTCAGAGGAAAGATGCATCTAGAAGGGGGACAAATGATAACATGTTTCAATTCTCTCTCAATCCAACCAACCCTAAAAACTAACTCGAAGCAATACTCCTTCGGTTAAGTAGGAGTTCATCTGATGCTCCGGATCACAAATTTGCACATCATTGTGGTCGTCTCGCCGCCAAGATCCACATTTCTGCTCACTTCACTTGCACCAAAAACCATCATGCCCAAAAACCCTCCATACCAGGTTTTAGCAGCAAAACAAAGCTGCTCAATACCAAGCGGCAGATGAGATAAGGAGAAAATGGAATGCATTGAATTTGAACATAAATCCAAGCAGAAAGGAAAGGTCAATCATCATATGTAAAATACTCAATTAGAAGTGCCTGAAAAACTTAAATGTGGCTTCTAAATCCAACATAGTAAAATATTCCCAAAGAAAATCAGAAGACGTTCCTTTAGAAACAAAGTTACAGACCTCTAATCCAGCAACTGTCCGAATGATGTGTGAGCAAACTCGGTGGAAAGGTTTGGAAGACAGAGATATCAGGCCACTCAGGAATGGAGAGTATTGCTGAGCAGCAGTAGCCATGAAACCGCTTCCTTCATATGTATATGTACCAGTACACTCAACTATAGCAGGCAAACTAGGCCATAGACGAAAATATTCAACTGGTGAAATTTTATGTGGCAAAAGAAGCTCGGTCAGAGGAATTTTGTATGGCTGACATCTCAAAATGACGGGTTCTCCTAATTCAGGTCTCAGGCTTTTCTTTTGTCTCATAACTTATGGATCCTTTCGGTCTTCATAATCGGCGGGACCAAAACTATAAAAGGGGTAATAAAGTACTTGAATCCAAAGGTCAGAACGCTCAAAATGGAAAACGCCCACAGTTACACTGCTCAGCACTGGTTCCTGGATTCATGCAAGTCCAGTCAATGTATGAAACAGAAACTATCAATGTATAGAGTACCACCAATGAGCATTAGGGTCCAACAGTCAATTTACAAGGATAATGAAAAATGTGAACAAAAAGGTTATTCAATATCGAGCAACGTTTTCGAGCCAAATGAAATGAGCATAAAAGGTTTCAGGTTAATCAGAAAACCCCCTTCCCTATCCCCTTCTTTTGTCCAGTCGAAGATAGGGAACAACCTTAAAAAAGGCGATGTTTGGTCCGAAACCCCGGAACAACCAATCACAAGTGTCTACCATATTTTCCATATGGGAAATAAAATTTGAATATATGAAACAATTAAGTGAATATCTATCCATCAATATATCTTTTTCTTCTCAAATATCAAGCTAAACCAAAGATGTGTAACCACACAAAATATGCAAGAAGCAATCTTAGGCCTCTAATTAGATAGCATCTGCAAATAAGAGTTACATTTTTCTATTTTGGAAAGTGGCGAACATGGTAATGAAAGACATGAGATTAAAAAACTCAGAAAAACAACAAAGAGATTCACAAACCTTGACTAATATCTCAGTGTGTCAATTTAATCAATGAAGAACTGTCACTATACCATGCTCATTTGTGGCAACCTAAAATAAAACTGTTAAATAGATATATTTCTTTTCCAACAGTTCAATTCACTTGGTACTAGAGCATGTAGATCTCTTGGGTTGTCCAAAAGAAGTTTTACATGCTTGGTCTACATAGAAGAGATCAGTCCACGTGTGATGAGGCATGGTGAAGATATAACTAAGTAAATAACATTGCCACAAAAGGGACCACATAAGATATAGCAGTTGAAAATAATTTGCTGGAATGTGTGGGGAATTAATGGGCTAGACAAAAGGAATAAGGTAAAGCTACTTTTACAAAAATGGGATGCAGATGTTGTGCAAAAACAAAGATGAAGGGGATGAAGTTAGATTATATCAAGCAAATTGGAGGATCTAGGTAGTCTGATTGGGTGGAGGTAGAGGCTCAAGGTAACCGTGGTGGAATTATCATTTTCTGGGATAAGAGAAGATGGAAGTGCTTGGAAAAAATTGTGGGAATCCATTCAGCTACTGTGTTATTGGAAGAAGAGAGCTCGGGAGCCCAATATGCATTTACTGGGGTATATGGTCCATGCAACAGAAAAACAAGGAAAAATTTATGGAAAGAACTCGCAGCAATCAGTGGTATTGTGTCTCAACCATGGGCAATAGGAGCAGATTTCAACATAATGAGATTTGAAGAAGAAAAAAGGGGAAAAGCAAGAAATACAAGAGCGATGAGAGAATTCTCAAAGCTCATAAATGAACTAGCTCTAATTGATCTTCCGCTTCGTGGGGGATCCTTTATTTGGTTCAGAGGCAGAAACAGTCGGAGTGCTTCCAGGATAGACAGATTTTTAATATCAGAAGATTGGGATGAGCACTTCAAATTTTTGAAACAGAGGGTTCTACCGAGAAACACATCAGAGCATTGTCCTATCTTGTTGGAATGTGGAAATTGGAGTAAAGGAAAAGACTATTTCAAGTTTGAAAATATGTGGTTTGAACACAAGGGTTTCACAAACCTTGTGGATAATTGGTGGAAATCTTATGATATACATGGTGAACCAGATGCTATTCTTGCAAAGAAGCTTATTCTTCTAAAAAGTGATTTAAGAAAGTGGAATAAGGATGTTTTTGGGAAATTAGAAGATAGAAAAAATAAGGCTCATGGCGTGAGGGAGGATCAGGATGAGGAATACAGAGAAACGGAAAGAAAGTATATAGAAAGGGAGTTACAGGAAGTTTCAAAAGCTGAAGAGATTTCATGGAGGCAAAAGTCTCGATGTTAATGGTTAGAACATGGGGACAAAAATACAAAAAATTTCCATAGACAAGCCAATGCCCATAAAAGATTTAATTGCATTGACAAATTAGTGATTGATGATGTTAGGGTGGAGGATGAGAAATTAATAAAGGAACACATACAGGGATTCTATGAAAAACTGTTCAAAGAGAATGAAAATTGGAGGCCAAGGTGGGAGGATGAGACTCTTAAAAGGCTTTCGGATGATGATAAGGAATGGCTGCAGAGGCCATTTACAATGGAGGAAGTGGAAGATGTAATCAATCTTTTAGAGGTGACAAAGCCCCAGGCCCTGACGGTTTCAACCTTATGTTTTTTCAGAAATGTTGGAGTAAGTAAAGGATGATGTGTGGAGAACTGTTGAAAGTTTTCATAAAAAAGGGACTTTTATAAGGAGCCTAAATTCTACTTTTGTTGCTTTGATTCCCAAGAAAAAAGGGGCAATAGAGGTGAAAGATTTTAGGCCCATTAGTCTATTGGGGAGTGTGTACAAGATTCTAGCAAAGCTTTTGGCAGAAAGACTGAAATTGGTTATTGGTAAACTAGTTTCTGAGAGTCAGAATGCATCCATTAAGGGTAGACATGGGAACGAATCTATAGGGCTATCACCTTCTTTGGCCAGACTTCCAATCTTTTCACAATTACAGTTCACTGCGTCCATCCTAACTTTCATTATTGAGCTAAAGGAGTTCCCTAGCCCTTCAAGTTTACACGTTGATCCCTCTATGATGGCATTGGCAAACTAGTTTCTGAGAGTCAAAATGCTTTCATTAAGGGTAGACAAATAACATATGCATCTATGGTGGCTAATAAAAGTATTGAATATCTATTGAAAAGGAAGAAGAGAGGTGTTGCTTGCAAACTTGACCTAGAAAAGGCATATGATCATGTTAATTGGTCTTGTTTGTTAAGCATAATGAAGGAGATGAATTTTGGTGAGAAGTGAATTGAATGGATCGGTTATTGTATCTCCACCGTTAGGTTCTCTATGTTGATAAATGGAAACCCCAAGCCTATTTTAGATCTCAAAGAGGATTGAGGCAAGGAGATCCTTTATCCCCTTGTTTATTTACTCTGGTAATGAAAGTTCTCAGTAAGATGTTAATGAAGGCAGAAGAATTAGGATGGATAAAAGGAATGTGCTTTAGAAGTATTGACGAAGACAGGGTTTCAATCTCTCACATTCTATATGCTGATGATACTCTATTGTTTTGTGAGCCAGAGAAAGAACACATGTTTTACCTCAAAGGAGTTCTTTTAACTTTTGAAGCAGTCACTGGTTTGAGGACTAATTTGGCAAAAAGTAGCATTTTCAGTATAAATGTTGATGATATTATTGATGAATTGGTTGATATTTTGGATTGTAAAGTGGAGAAGTTTTCAACAGTTTACTTAGGGCTTCTTTTGGGGGCAAAAAAAATGATCCTAATATATGGAAAGGGGTTCTGGACAGATGTGCAAGTAAGCTAATTCTTGGAAAAAACAGTACCTATCCTGTGGGGGTAGGCTCACTCTAATTAATAGTGTGTTTGATGGTATTCCAACATATCTGATGTCTTTATTCTCAATGCCTGCTGTAGTAGAAAAAAAGATGAATTCTTTGAGAAACCAATTTCTATGGGAAGGGAATGCTACTAAAAAGAGATCGCATTTAATAAAATGGCAGATAGTATTGAATGATAAAAAAGGAGGTGGTCTCGGAGTAAGAAAATTGAAATTACATAATAAGAACCTACTTTTCAAATGGCTTTGGAGATACATTTAGGGATAGCAAATGGGGCGGTGCGGGGGCGAGGCGGGTTTAAGGCGGCGGAGCGGGTTTAAAGCTACGCGGTGCTGGGCGGTTGCGGGGCGGGTTGAAATAATTTTTTAAAAAGCTAATGTCGGGGCGGGGCGATTGCGGGTCTACGCGGGTTTTTGCGGGTTTGCACAAGTTTACTGGATTTGGCCTATTGTATTACCCAGTAAGACATGACTCATGAGCAAGGTATGCGACAAAAATAGTAAAATAACTGTTTAAATATTTGATACTTAATCAAAACAAACTAAATCATTTATAACTCCTTCTCTTTTAAGTACACCTTTTAATTAGTGAAATGTTAATTAAGTTACAAATTTTGAATAAAAGAGAAAGCTAGACATTTAACGAAATATAAAATGTAGTTTAGACAAATATTTTTATGATTAAATTATTAACATTTATCACTTAATCATCTAATGAAAAGTTTGTTGCACAAAAATTTTTGTCAGTTAAAAAATCATACAAATAAATAATAGCAGCCAACCAGAATCGTATAACGTTCAAATTTTTGTCATTTTCGGCATTCCCATTATGAATTTCAAAATCCTCCAATCCAATTGAACAATTCAGTTGGTTGATGGAATCGAAAATCCAGCAATAAAATTAATTAAAACAAACTTTAAAAAAAAAACTTTATGCGGTGCGGGTGGACGTAGGTGTGGGTGTGGGGCGGGTGGATGCGGGTGCAAATCTATGCGGGGCGGGTTGAAATATTTGCGGGTTTGCCCCGCAACCGCACCGCACCGTTTTC